GGAAGAAATTTTAAGAGGCACCAAAAATACAAGCATACTGCAGGTCAGGGACACTTCCAGACTAATTACAAATTGAGAAATTTGTTTCAACATCAAAAGAATGGATGTATAGGTGAATATAGGTATAATCATCTTCAAAGAAACAAATAAACCTATGTTTTTCACTCTTGTTCATATGAAATTTTAGACCTTCACACAGATCCACTTGAGTTCACTGATGCCTAGCAATTGGTAAGCTAAAGTATAAAGCCTACAATTTAGTCTGCATTAGAATAGAAGAATAAGGGTTAGCTGTTATTACTGTCATTGTTGATATCAATGTCATTATCATAATCATCCTTTGCAGGAATATGCCCAGACCTGAGGGAAAACAGTTGGGAATAGAGCGTACTGAATTCTGGTGAATGAGTTCAAAGTTCCCGAAGGGAGCTGGCTGGATAGATTTCCACTTTCTTTGCACCCAGGAGAAAGCAACAGAAGCATAAACTGGTTTAGTTCAAAGCAATTCATTTCAGTGGCTTCCCACACTCACTCAAGGACTAAACTAGGTTGCTTTTCCTTTGCCCAAGGGCAGAAAGGGCTCTTGGCCATTGTCCCAGGGAGGCTGCCTGGCCTGATAGCCATCAGCTCTTCTTGATTAATAAGCCCTTTTTACTTTCAGCTCACACTGACAAGGCGCTTAGGTTTGGATCAATCAGTTGATTAGGATAAGAACCTGGAGGGGTTGGGTGGATAGTTCCATTAGGGCAGGCCCTCAGGAAGGAGGACTTGTTAAAGGGTGAGGAGCAAGCAGCCGCACCTTCATCATAAGGGTGGATGCCACAGGCCCAGTGGCTGCCATGTTTACTTTGGGGAACAATTTATGGTCAGATCTACAGAAACAGTGATTGATTTTCAGGCTTTTTGATCAATTATGAGACTCTCATCACAGCTATAATTATCAAAACTATGATAAATTAATCTAGATTTGAGAAATTGGATCCAATATAGCAGAGTGGTTCAGAGCATAGACTCAGGTTTGAATCCTGGCTCCCTGACCTTGGGTAAGTTACTTCACCTCTCTGCACCTTAGTTTTCCCATTAGTAAAAGGGACATAATTGTACCTACCTCTTGGGATAGCTGCAAGCATTAAAAAAGTTATGTATTTGGGGCTCGTTACAGTGTAGATATGTTAGCTATTATTTATTATCTCTATAATTAAGGGAGATGGGGGTCAGGGGAGAAAATATTTACCCTCTGGAGCAAGCATGGGCTTCATTTAATTCAATATAAAGTCTCTGGGTGTCTATTATTTATCAGGGGCTGGTTTCAGATGGGAGCAAGACACAGTCCTGTACTCAAAGAGTTCATGGTGTAGGAAGGGAGAAAGACATGTAAACGCATACATCATAATACACCGTAACAGTGAAAACAGAAGGTGCAATGGTTGCACAGAAGAGGGAGTGATGGATTCTATCGGGGGGAGTCTCTGAGCAGGTGACCTCTGAGCTGGGCTTTGAAGATGGAGTTTGCTAGATGAACGAGTGCCAGGTGGAAGGATTCCAGGAGGGAGAGGGATAGCACTATAAAAACACAGACTCATAAAACACACTTGCTTTTGCTGGACTATAAAATGTGGGTGGAGGGGGGAGGAGGAGAGGAAGGGGGATGTAAATTATAGAGCATCATATAAGTACATTTGATTTCATTTACATCAATATTGCAGCATCAAAGTGGAAGGGGCTGGAGACAGGTCAAGAAGAGGTAACTGTGGCCAGATCATGAAGGGCCTGGTATTTACCTGCTTCAGTTGTGTGTAGGCTGAACCGAGGCCGTGGTGATGGGAATGGAGAAGGAACAAGAGGTAATTAAGGGGTAGGGCTGCTGGGGCTTGGTGATTGAGTGGATGTGGGAGGTGAGGGAGGGAGAGGAATCCAAGTCACTCTCAGGTTCACTGGGCTTGACACCACAAGGAGGCTGTATGACTGTGGAAGAAGGGCCCGTTTGGGGGATGAGAAGGTCAGGCCCGTGTTGGGCATGTGGAGCTTGCCACGCCTGTGAACATCCAGGGGGGATGTGGGCAGTTGGAATTGCACACTAGAGGTTCTATATGTGAGTTTATAGAGTTTGCCTGGAGGCATGTGGTTGGGATAGAACCTGGAGCCCTAGGGTATAATATTGATAATGGTTAACATTTCACGCATACTTGCTGCGTGCCAAGCTGTGCCACGCATCTCCCAGGCAATGCCAAATCAGGGACCATATTTGCTTCGCTCATCGTTTTACCTCCGGTAACTGGCACATCCTGGGCACACAGTAATGATTTTGTTGAATGGAGGCTCTCATTTAGTCCTCACAACCACTCTATGGGGCAGATAGTATTAGGGTCCTCGTTTTACAGACGAGGAAAATGATCTAGGAAAGATTACACTGACCAAGGCAACACACTTGTAAGCAGCAGATCTGAGATTTGAAATCAGCTCTCTCTGACTGTAAAGTCCAAAGTTCTTAACAGTTTTTTTTTTTTAAAGATTTTATTTGACAGAGAGAGCACAAGCAGAGGGACAAGCAGGCTCCCCGCTGAGCAAGGAGCCCGATGTGGGACTCGATCCCAGGACCCTGGGATCATGACCTGGGCCGAAGGCAGCTGCTTAACAGACTGAGCCACCCAGGCGTCCCTTAACAGTTTTGTTAGAATGTTAACATCTCCTAAAAATGTACTTATGTGACCTAGGGTGAGACTTGAACCCCTCTGAGACTACCACATCAGGAGTGGGGTTCAAAAATCTCAGAGCTCCCTTTCCAGCTTCAAAACTCTGATGTCAGACGACTCTTGTGGAGATGCACGGCGGGGGCCCACACCCGGTCACTGAGGGCCCAAGGCCTGAGAGGTTGCCGCTGGCTACCTCGCCACACCAGGAGCGTCCAGGTGGGAGCCGTCTGTCCCAGGTGCAGGCCAAGCAGGTGGATTAGGGTTCTACTCCTGGACAACAGATTATCACCAATTTAGCAGCTTGAAATGACACGATGTCTCCTCTCAGTTTCTGTGGACTCAGTGGTTTAGCTCTGTCCTCTGTTCAAGGTCTCGCAAAGCTGCAATCAAGTTGTCAGCTGAACTGAGTTTTTAGCCAGATGCTTGAATGGGGAAGAGTCTGCTTCTGAGCTCACTCTGGTTGTCACAGACTTTATTTCCTCATGATTGTATACCTCAGGCCTGACTTGCTGCTGGCTCTTGGCCAGAGGCCACTGTCAGGTCGAGGAGGCGGCTTCCTCAACATGGTTGCTCACTTCATCAAGCCTGCCAGGAGAACCTACTAGTATGTGCTGGTTAGATGGATATCTATATCATCTTTATCTATATATCTCCCTTATATAGCAACAGATATAGTAGATACATAAATAGTGCATATTACAAATCATCGGAGTAACATCCCATCACCTTTGCCATATTTTATTGCTTAGAGGCAAGTCTTAGGTTCCACCTCTACTCAAGGAGAGGGATTTACACAAAGGTGTGGACACCAGGAGGTAGGAATTACTGGGGGTCCCCCGAGGGTCTGTCATCCACAAAAGGTCACGTTACCTACTGAGAACTTACAAGTAATAATAAATCCAACTAAAGTTGGTCTGCTTTTTTATTAATGCCATGAACTGTCAAATACTTCCTCCTGAAAAAAAGTTTTTTGTTGTTTTAAGGTCTAAACAGTTGCTGGGATTGCTGTTGAGTTTTCACAATGCATAGGTAAGCTTCATTTTTAAAATTACTTATCTGTTAATGCATTGTATTCTTCATGGAAGTAAACTCCCAAGTTACACTAACAGTTGGTCCCCAACACATGGACTTAGCTATATGCCTTCATTTTAAGAGTAAAGCTGTAATGGTTCAGAGTCATTTGAGATTGTTTTGGGTGCATGCACCTCTCAAACTCTCTGGTAGTACACAGTACTGTGTTTAAATAGATTTGAAATAAATGAGCACAACAGTGACTGTAAAGACTGAGAAATTGAACTTGAGTTACTTCAGTTCTGTTATTATATATGACCGTGGGGAGTTTTTGTGTTTAAAATTTAATACTGTGAAGGAAGCGATGCAAACTGAGAAGTGTGATGTTCTTACTTGGTAAATACACATCTCAGCTAATACAGGAAATACTTTACTAAATTTTAATATTAACTTTAAAGTGGAAAATTCCCTTACAATATTTATTGTAAAACTGAAAAACGAATCAAGAAAACAAAACATTACAACATTCTGATTTAGTAGTTGCCTAATACTTGGTGAGCTACTGTTTTCCTGCTTAGGATTAAAAATAGCTAGCCCTAATTTGGCTCACCATGGGCTAGACTCTTCCAAACACACTCATATCTGTATGAACTCGTTAAAACCACCCTAGCAGGTGAGTCCTGCTATCAATCTTATAGATAAAATAATCTGGGGCACAGAAGGCTTGTGATCTGCTCCAGATCGTCCAACTAGAGTGGCCGAGCTGGAATTTGAACCGGGCAATGTGGCTCCAGTCCCTGAATTCTTATCCGCTAGTGAGAAAAGACAAGGCAAAACCAATATCCCCGACAACCCTGCAGGCCGATGGAAGCCCTTCAAAAAGGACAGGAGGGCTGCTTTCTGTTCCAGACCGGCCCCTGCTGGATCCTGGGCGGAGGAAGAGCGGGCTTCCCGGGGGGGGGGGGGGGCGGGGGGGTGCTCTCTGGGCGTCCCCTTCTCTGCCCTCGTCTGCCAGGCCCAGGTTTCGCCTGGCCCTTCCCGGCTTCCGGCCCTTTGCTCCAGGCCAGGTCGCAGGGTCAGGAGCTCGCGAGTCCTCTATTTACTGTTTGGTTTCCATGGTGACACGTAGGCACCGTCAGCGCCTCCCGTCACAGGCCCCGCAGCGCGGCCCCCACCCGGCGCCGTGACGTCTGCCCGCCGCTTCCGCTCTGCCCATATTTGGCGTAGCCCGCGAGTCGCCGGCCGGTAGGAGGCTGCGAGCCGGGCTCCCACCTCCCCCCGCCCCCTGTTCCCGGCCACGCCCTCGCGGGGGTGCTGCCGGACGCTCTCTGTCATGCGCCCCCCGCCCCCGCCCCTTCCCGCAGATCCAAGGTGCGGCGAGGAACGGGGGCGTTAGGGAGCCCTAGAGAGGGCGTGGGTGATCGGATGAGCGCTGAGGTCTGTAAATATTCGTTGACTCTTTGAGGCTGCAGACAAGATTTGGGGCTGTCTCGTCCGTCCCGGGTGGGTGAGCTCGGATCACGATTTTCTCACTCGGTGCCGGAAATCATGGAAAGAGCCATCGCTAGCCTAACTCTTATTTTATAGGCTCGAACAAAATTCTCGCCCATGGCGCAGTGGAAAGCTTTGAAGCTGGAGGCTCTGGGATCAGTGTTGCCCCTTGGGAGATAAGTGACCTTGGGAAGGGTCACTTCCCTTTACCCGGCCTGGTAAAATGAGCTGTAGGGGTGGGTGGAGTGATCGTACTGTTTACAGCGGTCTCAGTCAGGTTTGGGGGCGGGGGGAGATCGTCCATCACCTTCGAACTATCCCGTATCCCCGTGGCATAATTGGAATGTCAGTGAAGCTCGCTGAGGACTCCTACAATTCTGATCCTTATAGCAACTGCATATGTGTGGCTCTTTGAGCCTTGCTCGTATGAGGCGCTTAATTAACTCAGTTAACTGACTATTGAATGAATCCTAGGCAAATTACCTTCGGACTTCACCTTCATAAATCCGGATCCCCGCAATTCCTTACAGGCGGAAGGAAGAATATTGCGATGATTAATAATCGCGCAGCAGTGTTGCTGTTGTAAAGCGATTTGCAGATGTAAAGGGCAATAAGCATTCCTGGGAGGAATCCAGCGAGATTCCAGAAGTCTCCGAGGGAGCCGTGGGTGTATGCCGCCAGGCCCTGAGGGCGGGGGTGAGGCGGGCAGTGTCGCAGAGGCCACTGCTGGGGACTCGACTGGCTGCCGGCACGGGGCTAACTCTTCAAGCTGCTCAGTCGCGCGCCCTTCCTCGCCCCAATTCCCCAGTTTCTCTGGCCAGAGGACTGTGTGTTTTCCAGAATATCAGAGCTGGAACGCACGTCAGACATTTCCCTCTAATCCAGCCTTTCTGTTTCACAAATGGGGAAACTAAGGCTCAGAGAAGTTGATTCATCCACCCAAACTTGCACAGCTAGTTAGAGACAGATAGAGATGAGGATTTCTGGCTTCAAACTAGAGTCCTTTCCACCTCATCTCTAACCCCCTGTGCTCTTGTGGCTTGGGGACTCTGCTGCCTGGTTCAGATGGTGGGCTGTGCAGTAAAGCTAAATACTGACTTCAGGCCTCCTAAAGGATGCCAGTGGGACACCTTCTGCTCTACACAGCCCACAGCCCGACCCCAGGGCCTGCAGTGATGTGCAGGAGGTGTGTTCTGCCAAAGCCACAAGTATTCTTCCTTACAGTGGCTGGAATGGCTTCTCTTGTCCAGAGAACCCGAGTTGGCTGTCCTGAAACCAGGCTTAGACTAGCAGTAGGTCATTTTTCATAGTTACCCAAGCCCTGCATTAAGCTTTTCTCAGCCAAGGCAACAGCGGAAGGCGTGTAGCCTGAACCCGTGGGAACCCTTTTTTGCTCATTGTAAGGTCTTTTCATGGTGCACAGAGGTTGGATTCTGTAGGGGAATGCCTCAAATGTCCCCGTCTCAACCAACTTCCTCTTACATTCCATATTCTATTTCTTCCCTAACTTCTAGACTGAGTATGAAGGCAGCTCAGACTGAGAAAATTGGTGCCTACCGCGGGCCTCAGCCATCCCCACCGGCTGATTGGAGGAGTCTGGGATCCTCCGCCTCTGATTGTACTCGGGGCTATAGCGATAGAAGCGGCCGCTCTGCCCCCTGGTGGACGTGTGAGGCACAGCGCCCTTCTCCAATTCCAGAAGCAGCCCCGTGGTGGTGACTAGAGGAAGGAAGCGCTCTTTGTTCACTCGGATAGAAATGGCAAAATTTGGCAGAAGAAAAATAATCCCAGCCCTTTCTTTTTCTAGTTTATTTCTGAGGATCTGGTCCGTTTGGATGCAGAAAAAACTTGTGTTGTTTCTCTTGCCTGGACTGTATTTTTCCTTCCCGCTTATACAAACCCTGCCCCTTTTTCAACCCGTTTCAAGTTCCGCCTCCTTCATAACAATCTCTCTTACTCCCGCTCCTATGTATCTTCTAAAATACAGCTGTGCACAGACCCAGCACACAGAGTGCACACTTACATATGTCATTTTCCTTGAGGGCGGGAGCCGGGTTTGTGTGTCTTTGTGTTCGTAGACTCCATATGCCCAGCACAGGGCTGGGGACAGAAACTGCTCTCAATAAGCTCTTGCTGACTAATTGATAAATTAATTGATTAATCTCTGCAAAAGCAAACTCTAAGCCTTTGCTTCGACCAGCCTTCCAGAACTGTCAGTTCTTTGGGGGAATCTAGTGACCTAACCAAATATCGCCTTGCACAATAAGTAGTTACACAAAGAATTTCACAAGAGAACACCACCATCCCCCAGGGAGGGATGAGGAAGTTTGAAGTGGACTCTCAGAGAGAGATGTGGAGGAGGGTGGCCGTGTGGAAAGGTCAAAGGACAAAGAATTAGGAGGGAGAGGCCTCTGTTCCTGGGCTCAGAGAGGCCTCTCAGGCCCTAGTGCCTGGTGTGGATCCGGACTGCACCACCTGCTGTGTGGCCTTAGGCAAGTTCACTCCCTTCTCTGGGTGTCAGTTTCGCATCAGTAAAAATAAGTACCCATCTGCTAGTAATAGGATGAGGATAAATTGAGTTGCTATTTGCCAAGTGCCCAGCACGTAAGTGCTATATAACAGTTTGTAGATGAATTTTCCAGCAAAGGTGTCTTGTAAATGGGATGGAGATTATTATACCATCTCTCGGTTCCCTTTCACACCAGCCTTCCAGACAGTGCAAGAACTTTGGGGTCAGGCAGGCCTGAGTTGACTCTTGTCTCTGTTAGCAGTTGTGTGACTTTGGGCAAATTGCTCTACTTCTTGGAGCCTTGGTGTTCTCATCTGTGAAATGAGGATAATTGTGTCTACCTCAAAAGACTGGTGTGTGCATTGCATGCATGTGAAGTACCTAAAGCATAGAAGGAGCGTAATAAACAGAAGCGATGGTTATTATTGATGAGAGGAGCCATGCTAAAGAAGAGGGTCTCCAAAATCTATGATGTTTCAAGAAAGTGAGTGTGTTGAACAGCCACAAGGCCAGCTCAGCCACGGAGCTCGGGGTGGTGAGGGGCAAGGCCTGGGTCTGGGCCATGACTGGATATCACAGGTGCTGAAGAAACCAAGAATGGTTTGTACAGCAGCTCTAGGAACATTTTCTGCCCCAAGGCTGCGCTGAGGGTGTGGATCCAGTGGGACTGGGTGCCAGTTGTGGGTCCTTCTGCACTCCTTCCCCGGAGAGGTCCTTCTGCACTCCTTGACAGGGTGTGGGCAGGGTGGGCCTCGGAAACCTGTCCTTGTGGAGTGTGCATGTGTGGGAATGGCCCAGAGACATCCTGCCCTGCAACCTGGACTTCTGGCACTGGTGTGGCCCTCCCTCATGGCAGAACCCGCCTGCACAGCTCCTCGGTGCTGCCATTCCCAAACCTGTCCCAGGACACCGGGACTGATTGCTGGCAATTCTCCAAGGGCTAGGGGAAGGGGGGGGGCGGTGATAGTCTTAAAGCCGAATTAACCTTGCCTCCCTTCAGCATTTGCATACCCCATTTAGTACTTTTCCACATCTGCTGTTTGTATTCCTTTGAGTTCTTTTGGGGAAGGCGGAAGGAGGGTTGCAAAATCCCAACAATGATACGGTGTTGCAATCCCAAACACGCTGGGCATCACTCTTACGGTCCTCGGTCCTCATGCTTGACTGCGCTTGTCCCTTGTGACCCACGAGGAGTTGTGTGCTCCCTGATGGCAGGCTCTATACTAAGGAGGTCACTATTCCGGGATCCCAGACACAGTCTGAGACCTGGACAAATCCACCTTAGGGGCTGTTTGGGGATCACATAGGAATCTGTAAGCCCCATTCCAAACTCCTGTTTCTCATGATGGCAACAGGGTGGAGCCCAGTGACTAGCATCCAGAGCAGAACTCAAAGGAAGAAACTATTTGTAAAAAAACCCAGGACCTATGAAGAGTCACAAAGGTACCAGTAATGGTTGTCTGTGGCCGAAGAGGGAATGTGTTTTTCTTCTTTTTGCTTGTTTGTACTTTCTGATTTTTTGTCTTTGGCAAGCACCTATTGCTTTTGTAAGGAGAAAAGATGTTTTTAAAATGTTCCCAGCAGAGCAGTTTGGTTTTTTTTTTTAATAGATAATAAATGAGAAGGTTCAAACACCCTCTCTTGTTTTTTTTTTTTTTTGTTGTTGTTGCTGCTTTTCCTCTCTTTCCAAAAGAAATAGATGCTCCTGGTGAAATCTTTGACAATTCAGACAATCAAAATAAAGAAAATAAAAAATCACCTGTAGTCTCATCACAGAGATAATGACTGTCATTATTTTTTATTTTACCTTTCCTGTACACTTTATAGTCTTTAGCTTTTATGCTGTGGTTTTTATGAAAATAGGACCACGCTGTAACCATGTTTTGTAATCTGCTTTTTCTACACCGTAGATCATGAACATATTTTTCTATGTGATCAAATTTAATCGCTAGTTACATAGGATTCTGGTTATAAGCATCCAACAATTTAACCAATTCTGCATTGTTGAAATATAACCTTGGGGCAGTTTCTAAATTTTTTGCTGTTATAGACAAGGCTGCAAATATCTTCACAGCTAATTTTTTGTGCACAGCCAAGATTATTTCTTTTGGGGGTGGGCCAAGAGTGTGCTCCTTGAGGCTTTTGAAATGTAGGTGCGCCCTCAGGAGAGACAGTCCCAAGGTAGAGTGCTCAGGCCCTGTGACAAAGGGGAAGGTCATATTGGCTCACCCTGTTTCTAGCTGTGTAATTGTAAAAATTATTTACCTTTTCGACACTTCAATTTCCTCAACTATAAAACTGGAACGATAGTAGCTATGTAGTTAAGATGGTTGTCAGGACTGTTGATGTCTGGATTGTCTTTCCTTCAGCGGAAGAAGTTGTCCTGAAACTGAGGTCTGGTTGCCTGGGACAGTGTGGTGGGGGGGAACTCAGGCAGGTTTAAATGGTAAATGGTGAAGATGCTGGAGAGGGGACAGTAGAGGTGCACAGGTAGTGAAGGGGCTGGTGGGGAGGAGGGTGAGGAAGGGTTAGAAGAGGAGGGAGTGGGACTCAGGGGGCAGGGGTGAGATGTCAGCAGGGACGTGGGCAGCGGGGGTGTGTGCCAGTCACTTTGGGGGGGCGGAGCCTCTGTCCTCCACTCTGGGCGCCCCACCCCCCCAGGCAGCTTGAGCCCCATGTTGCTTCACTCCCTGCCAGTCTTCTTTCGGTTCCTTGAGTGCGACGTTCCTCTGTGTTGTGTGACCTTCGTACATTCTCTTCCCCCTGCCAGGAACTCCTACTCTTTGCCTGGCTAACTTTTCTTTTTTTTAAGATTTTATGTATGTATTTGACGCACAGAGAGAGATAGTGAGAGCAGGAACACAAGCAGGGGGAGTGGGAGAGGGAGAAGCAGGCTTCCCGTCGAGCAGGGAGCCCAGTGTGGTGCTCGATCCCAGGACCCTGAGATCATGACCTGAGCTGAAGGCAGACGCTTAATGACTGAGCCACTCAAGTGCTCCCCCCTTTTTTTTAAAAGATTTTACTCATTAATTTGTCAGAGACAGAGAGAGAGCGAGCACAAGCAGAGGGAGCGGCAGGCAGAGGGAGAGGGAGAAGCAGTCTCCCTGCCAAACAAGGAGCTCGACGTGGGACTCGATCCCAGGACTCTGGGATCATGACCAGAGCTGAAAGCAGATGCTTAACCGACTGAGGCACCCAGGCGTCCCGCCTGGCTAACTTTTAGGCAGCATCAGATCACAAGCTTAAAGCTCACTTCCTCAGAGAGGCCTTCCCTGACCATCTGGTATAAACCAGCTCCCCTCCCTCCTGTGACTGGCTTGTGGCCTCTGTACCCACATGGCAACATCAAGGTCTGTAGTTACGTGTGTGATGGTTCTCCCTTGGTGTTCCCACTAGGCTGAAAGCTCCACCAGGGTAGGAACAGGGTCTGTTTTTTGCTCACAATTGTATCCCTGATGCCCAGGACATAGTAGGCACTCAATAAGTATTTATTGAAATGGAAGAAGAAACCAGTTGCTTTGTGACCTGTAAAATGCTTTTACATCCCTCCTGTGGTTCAGTCTCATCTTGATTGCTGCTGGCTGATTGGCTGAAGGAACAGGAGATTTGGGGGCTGAGAGGGATGCCTTAGCCAGTTCCTCTCCCCGCCTCCTTTCCCTTGAGCAAGTGGGCTTTCCTTTCTCAGACTAGAAACTTGAAATCAGTGCCTCTTAAACCTGATCTTCTTAACATGGGAATTGTGATCGCAGGGGTCTAGGATCCTCCCTAGGGTTGGGTCCAAGATTCTGCATCTCTAGCAAGCTCCCAGGTCAGGCGCCTGTGGTTGAATAGGGAGGCTTTCTATTCCCGGCGTCACTGGGATGCTCACCCTTAAGGTTGGGTCGCTTCGCCCTCTGTCGGCTACTGAAGGGCATGGCAATCCTTGACCAAGTAGATAAAGAGCGCCTACAGGGATTTTGTTAAGTCACACCCAATTCTTGGGGGACAAAATCTTCTGCTAAAAGCAGATGGCACACAGATTCTGAAAGTATTAGGAAATGTATTCTTAAGAATGCACTCTGGGGGCACCTGGGTGGCGTGACCGACTCTTGGTTTCGGCTCAGGTCCTGATCTCAGGGTCAGGGGATCAAGCCCCAGGTGGGGCTCCTAGCTCAGTCCGGAGTCCGCTGGAGATTCTCTCCCTCTCTCTCTGCCCCTCCCGCTCATGCTCTCTCTCTCTCAAATAAATAAATAAATCTTAAAAAAGAAAGAAAGAAAGAAAGAAAGCAAGCACTCTGTAAAGGATCCTGCCATGCTGAGGCAAAAGGAATGCCCTGAACTGAAGGATGTTAGGGCTGGGAGGGACCCTGACACTCAGCTAGTGAACGACTTCCTTCTTTCACCACTGTTTGCTTTTCCTTTTTTTTTTTTTTTTAAATAGCAGAGGCCTTTCTTCATCAGGGATGTGTAATGACTTGCATGAAGCCTAGGCGTTTTGGCCTCTATGGGCTCCTTCCTCTATAAAAATTAATTGAAAATTGTATTTTATGATTGTTTTGGTATAAAGATAAATATGTTAACATATATAATATATTGTCATTTTTATTTTTTATTTTTTTAAAAGATTTTATTTATTTATTTGACAGAGAGAGACACAGCAAGAGAGGGAACACAAGCAGGGGGAGTGGGAGAGGGAGAAGCAGGCTTCCCGCCGAGCAGGGAGCCTGATGCAGGGCTTGATCCCAGGACCCTGGGATCATGACCTGAGCTGAAGGCAGACGCTTAATTGGCATCCCTATATTGTCATTTTTCGATGTAAAAGTTTATTTTTTTCTTCTGATTTTCAAAAGAAATTAAACAATTTCCGTGGATCTGTGAAAATATTGTGGGCCTTAGGCACCAGGCTGTTTGTATCAGCCCTGTTCTCTGCGCAGTGCCTGGGTTCTATCTCTTTACCCACACGCCCAAGGCTGTAGGACACGCCTGGAGGGCCAGATTGCTTTTAATGCAGGTGCCCAGATTGGACCCATTAAAGGGCTTATACAAAATACTGAGTGTTTACTCTGTGCCAAGTGCTTGAAACATATTATTTAAGTTTCAGAACAACCTTGTTAGGTAGGTGTTACTGCCCATGTTGTGCCCCCAAGAAAATCAGAGTGAGAAGGTGACGTGACTTTCCTCACAACACAGCCTAGTGGGTGGCAGATCTGGGATTTGAACTCCAGGTCAGTCTGATCCCTCCAAAGACTGTGCCCTTGATGTGACAGGATGTACATCGAAGTACCTGCCTGGATATCTGTTCCCAAATGTACATTACGGTAGCAGGGATACTAAGGGACAAGATGTTCAGGGAAGGCTGTAGGGTCTTTGGGAAGAGGGAGAATGGAGGCTGGCTTTGGAGAAATCACTGCAGAGATGAAATGGCTGGAAAAGGCACCCGAGGCCACAGAGATGGAGAGGTGGGGGCCCTTGGTTCAGGGGACCATGGGGAGATTTCCCAAGCAGGAGGGAACTCAAGGTTAAGAAGTAGAGGGTGATGAGGCAGGGTGTGGCTATGAATAATGAGGAATTTGGGGCCAATCTCATGCTCAGGGGCGGTTTTTTGTTTCCTTGTGCCCTAAAATCTGGTCCCAAATTATCAATAACGTAACAAAGTTTTATCTGTCGTCCCTGACTCAGTTAAGATCTTTTTTTTTTGGGCGCCTGGGTGGCTCAGTTGGTTAAGCGACTGCCTTCGGCTCAGGTCATGATCCTGGAGTCCCTGGATCGACTCCCGCATCGGGCTCCCTGCTTGGCAGGGAGTCTGCTTCGTCCTCTGACCCTATCCCCTCTCATGAGTTCTCTCTCTCTCATTCTCTCTCTCTCAAATAAATAAATAAATAAATCTTAAAAAAAAAAAAGATCTTTTTTTTTTTCCTCAGTTAAGATCTTATCCATCAAGTAGGAGTTCTGAAGTTTGCCCTACACTCTCAGAAATGTCAGGAAGTTCAAATGACTGTCAGTTCCATAAGAGTGGGGAGCCTGTGGGGGCCTGGGTGCTCAGCACACCTTTGATGAAGGAGTGGACATCCTGGTCTACAAATAAATCCCTTTAAAGCCCCAAGGAGCAAATAGCTGACTGGAGAAAGGGACCCTGGCCAGGAGAGGGCGGTGTTCAGCGAAACAAGATTTGGTATGAGGAACCACCGGGATCTTTCTGCAGGATTGCGCATTGAGAATTTCCATCTCTGGGCTTTGCTCTAAACTCTGGGATTTAGGTGACCAAATCATTCTAAATTCTTACATCAACTCTTGTATTATAACTAGGAAAAGTGGGTAAAAGGCAGTTTAGTTCCTCCATTTCATGTTCTTTTAATGCTGTAGGCACTTAATACAGATAATTTATTTTTGGGGAGAGCAGTGCTTAAAACAGCAACCAGTTTATTATATCTCATGATTTTGTGAGTTAGGAACTAAGACAGGCATTGGCCAGGAAATTCTTCTGCTCAATATGGCAAAGGCTGATGTCCTCTGTGTTATTCAGCTGGGAGATAGGCTGGTCTGGAGGGTCTAAGATGGCTTTACTCAGAGGACACAGATGTAATTTTCCATTTTGTGTGGTTATTTTTGTGCCTGTTGCCCTCACTAGTCCAGAAGCTACCAAGGGCTGGAACTGTGTCTGTTTCTATCACTTTATCACTTGTGGCTAGCAGAGTGCCTGGCCAATTGAGGCTTAGTAAATATTTATTAAATACATATTTGTTGAATCAATGATGTAATTTTTTTTTTTAAGATTTTATTTATTTATTTGACAGAGAGATATAGAGAGCACAAGTAGGCAGAGTGGCAGGCAGAGGGAGAAGCAGGCTCCCCGCCGAGCAGGGAGCCCGACGCGGGGCTCGATCCCAGGACCCTGGGACCATGACCTGAGCCGAAGGCAGACGCTCAACCGACTGAGCCACCCAGCTGCCCCTGATGTAATTTTTATAAAGAGTGTCAGGATCCTCAGAAAACAGGCATTGGTAGGAGTTGATGATGATAGTAGCTCGGTCAGTGCCAAGACTAAGCTAAGTACTTGACAGCCGGGCTGGGTGGCATAACTTACTCCCATTTTATAGATGAGGAGCTGGGCTCCTGACACAGCTTCAAAGGGTGACATTCAAGAAGCCCCTTGTATATTGCAAATCAGAGAAGCTGGGGTAAACTCAGGAGCCCTAGAGGCCAAGCAAATTCCCAAAATGAGTTATTTGGGAGAGAAAAACCTGATGATATGACAAAAGGCAAGACAGTGTGTTTTCAAATTGGTCACAAACGATGCTCCAGATTCCTGCTTCTACAGTTATCCAAATAACAGAAGCAAAACCACCCCGAATGTTGAGGTGAAAATTCACTTGGGTGTTTATTGCTACATTCACTTAAACTGTTCCTCAAAAATCCACATGTTTCTTTTTCTTCCTGGTTTTTAAAATTTATTTATTTATTTATTTATTTACTGTTTATAACGATTTTATTTTATTTTATTTTTTTAAAGATTTTATTTATTTATTCATGAGAGACAGAGAGAGAGACAGAGGCAGAGGGAGAAGCAGGCTCCCCGCGGAGCAGGGAGCCCAATGCGGGACTCGATCCCAGGACGCTGGGATCAGGACCTGAGCCGAAGGCAGACGCTTAACCGACTGAGCCACCCAGGCGTCCCATTAACGATTTTATTTATTTGAGTGAGAGAGAGCAGGAGAGACAGCAAGCAGAGGGGAGCAGCAGAGGGAGAGGGAGAAGCAGGCTTCCCGCTGAGCCGGGAGCCAGACGCGGGGGCTCGATCCCAGGATGCTGGGATCATGACCTGAGCTGAAGGCAGACGCTGGATGGACTGAGCCACCCAGGTGCCCCTGGTTTTATTTATTTTGATGTTAATGCACAGCTGCGCTGTTCTGTCAACATGGTGCACTGCTTCTTTAGTTTTATCAAACAGCAAGCTGGCTTAGTCAAGAGTGTAGCGTCACGGAGCCAAGGCGGGTTAGTTAGAGCGTCGTTGCTTGAAGGCTGATGTCGCCAGAGGGATCAAAGCACTCAGGGATGATCTGATGCCTTGGCTTCCTATGGGCTCTGCCTCGCCTGAAAGGCTCTTGTAGCTCTCCTTCCTGTGATGGGGAAATACCCCAGGGCGTCAGGAAATTCCTGCCCGGGCAGGGAGCTGACTTCCCGGGGAGTCTAAGCCCAGTCCCCGGCCGCCAATCAGCAGCGGCGCTGCCTCCAACGGACGAGCAGAACGAAGCCCAACAAATGCAGCTGGAACTTGAACAAACAGATTTGGGTGAGGCTGGGAGGGGAGTCAGGCCTGGCGTCATCCAGGCTCTGGGCCAGGCTGTTGTCATGGTGACAGCCAGCCCGTTTACCAGCGGGCAGCAGAGCCAGTTTTCTGAGGGGGAGGCCTACGGAGGGGGGCTGCGGTGCCCGAGGGGGCCTGCGCTTCTCCCAGGAAGAAATGGAAAGGCACAGAGAAGGCACGGCCACTCCGAGAGGTGCCTTCTCGCAGGAGCCGGTGGACGGCGGGGGCTGTGGGGGGGGCAGTGGGCCGGGAGAGGCTGGCCAGCCCGGGAGGGAGGGAAGTGGCCCCCGAAGGAGCGGAGAGGCCTCTGGGAAGGCTGGAAGGCATTCCGGGCAGAAGGGGTCTGCAGCCGTGTTAGCTTTCTTGGCAAAACATGAATTGAAGCAGATCAGAGTTCTTTAAAACAAAAAAAACCAAACCAAAACAACAACAACGACGACGACGACGACACACAGGCCAGTGGATGAGAGGGGGTCTTTGGGACTGTCCGGGGTGGAACATGAAAATGCCTACGTCTTTCTCCAGAAGCTCTTTTTCTTTTCTCATCTTTTCTTTTTTCTTTTATTTTCTTCTCTCCTCTTGTCTTCTCTTTTCTTCCTTTCCTTTTCTTTCCTCTCTTTTTTCTCTTCTCCCCTCCCCTTCACTCCCCTGCCCTCCTCTCCTCTCTTCTCTCTTTTCTTTTTGCTGATGTCCACAAGTCAAGTAATTACTTGGAGGGCAAGAGGAACGAACAGCATTCAGCGTAAAACAAAACGTTAAAAAACATCTGCTTTGCAGGGCAGGGCCTGCGAGGTGCTGGTGTCTGTGAGGATAGGTTACTTTAGGGTAAAGAATAGGCACCTTCCTGCCCTCAGAGGCATTGCAGATGTGGCTGGTGTGTTACACTTGTGTCATTAGGTGGCAGAAAGAGAGGCTTGTCTACACTCAGTGTTCTGGCCTGTGAGCATCTGGATAATTAATAGTCTGACACTTGACCAAAAAAAAAAAAAAAAAAAAAGACATTCTTTCTGGCTAATGTGCCATATTAGCAAAACAAATGCCGTGGAGGAAAGAATCGTGGTACGTCCGTCCTCTAGCAATCTCGCTGCCAAAGCGTCTGCCACGCCAAAGGACAACCGCTGTGTGAGTCCTCCTATGTGGGGTCCCCAGAGCAGTCACACTGTAGAGACAGAAGGTGGAAAGGTGGTTCCCAGGGGCTGGGGAAGGGAAGGAGGGAGTGATGTTTAATGGGTCCAGAGCTTCAGTTTGGGAAGATGAAAATAGTTCCGGAGATGGATGGTGGTGAGGGCTGCCCAACAACGTGAATGTGCTTAGCACCACTCAACTGTATACTGGACAATGATTAAAATGGTACATTCTGTGTTATGTAGATTTTACCACGGTTTTTATTTATTTATTTATTTTTAAGATTTTATTTATTTATTTGACAGAGAGAGACACAGTGAGAGAGGGAACACAAGCAGGAGGAGTGGGAGAGGGAGAGGCAGACTCCCCGCTGAGCAGGGAGCCCGACGCGGGGCTCGATCCCAGGACTCTGGGGTCATGACCTGAGCAGACGCTTAGCCGACTGAGCTACCCAGGCGCCCCAGATTTTACCGCAATTTCAAGTGTCTCAGTTAAAGGCTGCCTTCTTGTTGTACCAGGAGACCGTGGTGTCTGTTTGACAGCTGACGCCCAGGGCTTGCTGGTTCACCTCTGTGAGCCTTAGCTGTGCCATCATAGGGAGGACGGACGTCTTCCCTCAGCCAGGAATGAGGAATGGACGTGCAAGCACCGAGTGAACAGAAAGGCACCACAAGAACGTGAAATATGGGTAAGATATTATTTCAAAACTCCTTGTTAAGGCACCCAAATGCTGGGGGCAAGACGAAGGAGGGGCAAAACAAAGGAAAGGATGATATTTGGCAATCGCAGGGACTGGAAAAAGCCCAAATACTGTAGGAGAGGAGAAAAGAACTTGGGGCTCCTTCTCCGGGACCAGAGGGTAGGACCGACTTGGGCGATCACAGCGATTTAAAATACTTCTCCCTTTTGCTTTGCCTAAATTGAGAAACAAGTTAAGCCCACCCATCAGGAGGAAATGAAACGAAATGAAACAAATGTCAAAACATCACCTCTCAAATTTCACGAAGGGAAATGGTATAGTTACAACACAATGCTGGGTCAAAGTTTATGGGATCTGGAACCCAAATGTGCTGGTGGAACTCAGGTCACCATCAGTTTCATTAATGGTTAACCATTTAGTCAAAGAGACTTTTTTTTTCCCACTAGAAGAAATACTCTAAGAAATTCATCACCCCCACCGCCACTTACCCAACATACTATGTTAGCATCTATTAGCATGTGCCAAGCCCTCGTCTAGATACGTACCCTATCTTTTCATTTCTTATGACGACCATGCAAGGTAAATCTTTGTGGATAACCACATGAGGGTCACGTTTAGCAGTTTGTTCTTTCTGGTTCTTTGTTTCCTCGTCCATAAAATGAGAATAATGTTACAGCCAGAGCAGTTTAGCAGCTCACCCCTAGTCACACAGTTGGTAAGTAGTAACGTCAGGATTTGAACTCAGGTCTCACTCCAGAGCTCTGCACCAGAACACCACACTACACTGGCGAAGACACTATTGCTGAGAAGCTTCTGAAACACAATTGGTAATGACTATTTCGCTCTGGGAGCAATTTGAATGAGCAGTTGGTAAATTGCTTTATCATGACGTTGCATGATGTCCCATTGACATGCAGTGGGGAAGAACGATGAATACCCTGAGTATCTTAGCAGGGATCTGGCTCTAAAGTTGGATGAAACCCCCAAGCACAGAGTATGAAAATGCTTGGCTGTGTTATGTATGTGTGTGTGTGTGTGTGTGTGTGTGTGTGTTGTGCATCTTGTATGTTTTATTCTCTCTGTGTTGTATGTTGTATGTGTTGTGGATGTCTTACGTGTGTTGTGTGTGTATTACATGTGTATGAGTGGGTTGTGGAAGTGAAGGAGACTTGCCTGATTGATTTCTTCAACACTGAAGACCAGACATTCCAACAGCCAACGCTTACATGGTGCTCGCTCTGAGCCACGCGCTCCTCTCAGTGCTTCCCATGTAATAACTCATTCATCTTTGCAACAGTCCTGTGCCGTGGCTACTAACAGTATCCTCAGTGTATGAATAAGGAAGTGGAGGCACAGAAGGATCAATCAACTTACCCAACAGTAAAAGGTGGAGCTGGGTTGGAACCCAGGGAGATTGGCTTCAAATTCTGTGGTCTTTTTTTTTTTCCTTTTCTTCCTTCTTTCTTTTTTAAAAAGATTTTATTTATTTGAGAGAGAGACAGAGATAGCAAGAGCTAGCAGGAGTGGGGAGGAGAGGGAGAAGCAGGCTTCCCACTGAGCAGGGAGCCCGATGTGGGACTCGATCCCAGGACCCTGGGATCACGACCTGAGCTGAAGGCAGACGCTGAACCGACTGAGCCACCCAGGCGCCCCTAACTGGTGCTCCCAGATCACCATGTGGAAGGTGATAGAATTATTCTCCTTATTCTGTGGCTGGCAAGCCTGTGAACCATGTGAACACATGTTGGCTGAGACAGGCAGCACCCTCTAATTAAATATTAGCCGAGGCAAGCCAGCCATTGCTGGCCTTGTAGTGCGTGTGTGATTTCTATCAATTTAATGATTATTAAGAATTGAAAAGGACTGTTGTCAAAATCTTACATTTCACGCTTGTGAAATCTGTACAGACAAAATGGTTTTATTGATTTGTTTCCTCTGAAACCGCGGGCTACCTAGAGATGACCAGTATCTATGGATCAGATGTTCTCTGGCATGTGAGGACAGACTGTGATTTATTTGAGATAGGATGGCATTCCATCTTTTGTCTTTCTTTAATTGTCTTCCTGGTGCCTGTCACTTTGAAGTTGGGAATAACAGAAAAAGGTCTTTGGTAATGCTATTCAAAGTGGAGGAGGGGACCAAGCCTGTTACCATAGCAACACAAAGGCACTGGTTATCCATTCATCCACCCAACAAACGTCTACTGAGGACATGTTTTGTGCCGGGCACTGTTTTAGGTGACAAAAACTCAAGGATGAATGAGATAAAGTAGTTGCTTTGTGGAGCATCTATTCTAGTGGAGAAAAAAGACATCAAACAACTGAATAAATATAAACATAATAGAAGTCTAGACAGAGATAAGGGCTATGAAGAAAATAAGGCAAGGAAAGCGGAGAGGGAATGGCATATTTTACATAGTGTGGCCACAGGGGCTTATCTGAGGCTCTGCAAAGTGGTTAATCTAATTGTGTAAAGAATTATCTTAAACATCCCAAGCCTAGACCCCACTCTCAGTGGACTGCTTTCTTCTTGTTCCCCTTCTCCCACAGGATCTAAGGGTAGCCCATGTCCCCAAACCCTCAGCTGCAGAATGGAGGTAGACAAGGGACATTTAGGCAGGGGATGAGGAGTAGGTGAAGCTAGACCCTGGTGAGGGGAGCAAAGGGTTCAAGAGCTTGGGGGCCCATGGATAAAGGGTCAGTGGTTGTTCATTGATTACCTACTCAGTATCCATTTCTCTTCTCCCCACTTCCTACCAGCACTCATATTTGCCTTCTGGGTTTGGGTGGGATGTCAAGGAGGTTCCTGACTGTCCTAACAATCAGCATCATCTTAATCCTTTTACCTCTGCGATCAGTTCAGATTGTGAAGTTCAAAGTGTGACACTTGAGTCTTCTGATGGATAGAGAAGTGAAGTTCTCTCCCCTCCTGGTGGAGACAGGTAACCCTGGGTCCATCTTGTGACCTCCATGGAAGCCATCCTGAGGACAAAGCCAACACATGGAAGAGCAGAGAAGTGGAGCCAGACTCCCAGTTGCTCTCGAAACACATAGCATTGGATTTTCCCCTTTGTGAACCAATTCATTCATTCAAAAACATTTTGAGTGCTTATTATGTGCTAGATATTCTTCTACATGTTTTGGGGGAAAAAAAATCTCTGTCCAGTTTTTGTTGGCTTCTCTCTCTTTTTTTTTTAAAGATTTTATTTATTTGACAGAGAGAGAGGCAGCGAGAGAGGGAACACAAGCAAGGGGAGTGTGAGAGGGAGAAGCAGGCCTCCCGCAGAGCAGGGAGCCCGATGTGGGGCTCGATCCCAGGACCCTGGGATCATGACCCGAGCCGAAGGCAGACGCCCAACGACTGAGCCACCCAGACGCCCCTGTTGGCTTCTCTTTTACTAGCATGGGAGGAGTGGTGGGCTGATGATCACCAGAATCAGTCTGCCTAGGTTTAAATCCTGGCTCCACAACTCTGTGGCTGTGTGACATCAGGCAAGTTACTAAACCTCTCTGTGCATCAGTTTCCGCACACAAAAAGGGGATAATTCTACTGCCTACCTCATAGGATTGTTGTGAGGATTAAATGAGAGAATGTGAAGGGTGTGGGACAAGACTGGGCATGAGTATGTGCTTGATGCAGGGGCTCTGATATGCCACCCACGCTTTGGGAATGCCTTATTTCTCCCAGCCATAGGGAGTGCTTTACAAGTATTGCCCCAGGGGAAGATGACCATGTTGCCCCAAGGCCAGGGTCTCTTTCTGGGAACAGTCTACATCCCACGACTGATCTATGAGGAACTATAAGTGCTGGACCCCTTGCCTCAACTCAGGACCACTCTGAAAGGTCACACTGGTTCTGGAACTCTCCCTGGGGTTGATGGACGTCTTTGTTGGGCTTCCATCTCAGTTCAACTTCTCCCTCTGCCCAATTCTGCTTCTTTTTTCTCCCTTTCTGTGGATGTTAATCCCAACAGCACATCATGCATGCTGGTCTCTGAGTTTCTTCTCAGGAACACAACCTACTCAATAAATGTTCGCTGTTATCCTCACCCTCATCCTCATCCAAAAGCATCCTAAGTGATAGAGAAAAGAAGAGAAAGTGTGTAAAGAGGTTTTCTTACTAACTGGGAAAGGGTGACCATACGGGGCAGTGCAGAATGGCTAGAATGACCACACATGTTTTGTGGAGCTGAAGGGTTGTTATGTGGAGCAGGGGAATCCTTCTCAAATCCTCGTCTCCAGTTCTGGGTTGGACTTGGTGACTTGAACCTCAAGTAGAGCTCTGTGTATGAGCTTGACTGGTCAACAGTAAGAGTTTTCTTTCTTTCTTTTTTTTTTTTTAGATTTTTTTTTTTAGATTTTTCTTTCTTAATGGACTGTACCACCCTCTCCCCTCCAATATTAAGGGTGTAGTACAGGGTTACACTTTTACCTTGTTATTCAATTTCCTGCCACAGCTGTTTTGGGAATCTGGCAAGCACTTTTCACATACAAAAACTCAGTTTTTAGTGCTGTGATGGGTGGACCAGTTGGAAAGGGATGGAGGCTCCTGGTTTTATAGTCACATGGGGGCAGGAGTTTGCTTTCTTGAATCTGGAGAGCTATTGGGACACTGGTATTCACAGGCTGAATCTGGCAAATGAAAACCAGGATTTAGCACATACCCTGCTCATAGCTTTGCTGGAGGGGGAAGCTTGTTTCTGTCTTCTGGCTTTTTAAGCCAAGTGATGGTGACGCAGGAAAGCAAACTGGCTGTGCTTTCTCTAAAATGCTGATGGATTCAGCTGAATCCCACAGCATCATTCAAGGGCCCACCACGGGCAAGCATGGGGTGTGTGTGTGTGTGTGTGTGTGTGTGTGTGTGAGAGAGAGAGAGAGAGAGAGAGAGAAGTCAGGTCCCTACCATGTGCAGGGGAGATCAGCCATGTTACCAAACAACACGTTCCCCAGTACAGTGGATTTAGAACCAGACAGACCAGTTCTCAGAACTTGAGTTGAGTTCTAGTCCTGTTACTGAAGGTTGTGGTTTTATATTCGGGTTGACACAAAGCTCTGGAGACCAGTGGGTAGGAGGAGGTGGTAACTCAGGAAAAGGCAACTGTCTTGTTTGCCAGGTTATTTATGAATATTCAATTTTGCTCTAGAAAATGAGATAAATTAAGTATAGAAGCAAGTAGCTTATGAGATTTTTTAGACACAGTAGAATAAAGAGAACATATATGGGTTGAATATAGATCAAATGAGAACGTTACTTGTAGACAAGGAGTAAGAAGACCAAGTAAACCTTAAATATTTATAAGGCGTGGATCATGTCTTCTCTAGATTGAAGCAACGTCACTCCTATGTTGGCCACTCAGTGGTGACACCCCAAGAAACACAGATAAAACCTGCAGCTGCTCAGGAGATTCATTGGGGTGCTGCAGTGTGAACAGGTGCCCTTGGCCCCGAGTCTTCCCCATAGAGGCGGTTTGTGTGTGAACTTCAGGCCCCCCCTCCAGCCGGTTGCCTTGGCTCGCCCTCAATGCTGACCTCTGCAGCCACACCAGCAGGAGAGAAAGCTGCTGTGGTGGAGAGAGAACAAGAGATAGAATGTTGTGTGACCCAGGATTCAGCTAGGGTGATCCTTCTACCTGCTGGCACTTATCCTACGGGTGTTCACCTGTCCTGTCTCTTTGCCTTGCTTCTTTCCAGTGTGTGTTCTAACTTGATTAAATAAATGCCGAGACTCAAGCATCTTCATTTGGCCCGTGAGCCTTTCTGTTCCATGACCTCTGGCATAGGCTGCCTGGAGGTGTCAGAAGCTACCATTGCCTCCAGGAAACTTCACAAATGACATGGGAGTCGTAGCTCAGGCTTCCTGGAAGCAAAGCCCAAGACATAAATTTTTTTTTTTTTAAGATTTTATTTATTTATTTGACAGAGAGAGACACAGCGAGAGAGGGAACACCAGCAAGGGGAGTGGGAGAGGGAGAAGCAGGCTTCCCGCAGAGCAGGGAGCCCGATGTGGGACTTGATCCCAGGACCCTGGGATCATGACCTGAGCCGAAGGCAGACGCTTAACCGACTGAGCCACCCAGGCGCCCAAGACATAAATTTTTGTGCAAGTGATTTATGAGGGGGTTCTGTCTGGAGACAAAGTCTGTGAGGAAGTGAGAAAAACAGGATGGGAGAAGGGAAGAGGCCACACAAAGATGAGGTTCAGCTGATGTGTAACCTCAGCCTGGTGCCATGGAGAGCTGCAAAGCGTGGATACTCTGCAGGTCTGACCTTCCTTGAGGCAAGAGGGCCGGTCTTTTGTACCTGGTGTTAGGGAATGGATGCGCCAGCCTAGGAAAGGAGGTCTGGCTGGGGCATTGGCAGCATCTGCTACGGGTGGTTGGTCTGAACTCCCCTCCCAGGTGGGTTACAGTGGTAAGGGAGGGAAGAGAGAACTTAGTAGGTTGGGAAAGTAGTGGGAGAAAGGACTGGAAAGGCACGATGCCATATGACTTGGAAAGGTCTGAAGCCAGAGCAAGAAGTTAACACCTGATTCCATGGGCAGGAAGCCATAGGGAGCCATGGTGTGCTCTCGAGCATATGTGTGATTGGAGCAATGTCTAGGAAGAGAGCCGTATGGCGGTGGTATGTGTTGGGAGGAAGCTGCTGGCAAGGAGGGCAGCTGGGCCTGGTCTGGGCACTACTATGGATAGCTTCAAGCATCTCTCTCCTCGGCAGCCTTTGGGCAGCTCTATTCACTCAGAAGGCCTAGTTTCGCAGCCCTCTTCCTGGTCTCAATCTTACCTGATTCTCTTAAGAATCAGCCTTGTCCTGATGGAAAAGGGACTGGTACCACATGCCCAGGATCCCTAGGCCAGGCTGGGGTGGGCAGGGGTGGGGAAAGGTGCGTTGCTGAAGGGTCTCCCTTGGAGAAGAACACCTCCTAAAAAGCTCAGCACAGACTGAGGCTGGCTGCAGAGGGCTGGTTAATGCTGGAGTCGTACACACTGAGCAGGCTCCAAGTGAGGTTACCTGCTCTCTAAGTAATACAGAGCTTCTAAGCCTCTGGCTTTTGTGCAAGGCACTGTGGCCACCTGATCAGCAGCAGGCTGAAGATTCTTGGATTCAGACCAAGCCAGCCTCCAAGCAATGATCCTTCCTTAGGGCAGAGGTTTTGACTGTCTATCAAAACTTGAAGGGCAGTGGTTCCTAAACTCTAACATGCAAAAAACACTACGTGGAGGGCTTGCTAAAAAGCACAGGTTTCTGGGCCTCACCTGCAGAGATTCAGACTCAGCAGGTCTAGGGTGGGGGTGAGGAATTTGCATTTTAAATATGTACCCTTGTGACTGGGACCAGGCTGTGAAAGGGCCGTAAGTGGGGAGAGGGAAGATCCAGCACTGATGTACTCAGGAAACCCAGCAGCCCTGTGAAGTAGGTAATATTACTTTCTTTCTTTCTTTCTTTTTTTTTTTTTAAAGATTTTATTTATTTATTCGACAGGGAGAGACACAGCGAGAGAGGGAACTTCCACAAGCAGGGGGAGTGGGAGAGGGAGAAGCAGGCTCCCTGCGGAGCAGGGAGCCCGACGCGGGGCTCAATCCCAGGACCCTGGGATCATGACCTGAGCCCAAGGCAGATGCTTAATGACTGAGCCACCCAGGCGCCCTAGGTAATATTACTTTCATTATTCTCAGTTTACAGATGGATAAACTTGGGCTCAAAGGATTTAACGGCACTTCCCAAACTCTCAGAACTAGTAAATGACAAAGCTAGGATTCTAATCCACTCACATACAGCCTGTGCTGCTAGCTAAGATCTGGAGAAAGAATAATAGGGTGTCTAGCTGGTCGCATACACATGCAGGCTCGTCTCCTGACACCTCCCCCCCCCCCCCCCATATGAGCCCTCTGGAGCCAGGTCAATAGTACCAGTGAGGAACAGGCTAGGTTGTGCTGAAGTAACAAATGAGCCATCGGGTTCATTTCTTGCTCATGGTACGTGGCCATTCAGACCAGCAGGGGGGTCTATTCATTGTAGTCACTCAGGGATCCAGGCTGGGAGAAGCTCTATGTTGACAGGGTTCCACGATTGCAGGGGTAGAGAAAGAGGACACTGGCTCTTGAACCATGCATTTCTGTCTGGGAATGAATGGGTGTCACTTCTGCTCAAATTTCAGTGGCCAAGGAAGTCCCATTGTCCTGCCTGAGTTCATCAGAGTGTGGAAATGTAAACAAGAATATAGTCCGCCACGCCATCATCCGCTCATAAGAGCTTGAATGCACCTCCTTTTCTCATGTCTTTGCACATGCTGTTCCATCTGTCTGTTCACTGTCCTATGCCTGCTTCTCATCAACTCAGTGTCTGATTCTAGACTCCCTGCCACCAGCTCTGGGCAGCCTTTCCTCATCTGTCCCAGTCTCCAACCCCTACCCCCCCGCCAGGGCCCGGGACTGATCTCTGTTAGGATACATGCCATGTTGCACTGCGAGTGTCAGTTTGTCTGTCCTCCACCCACTGGAGTGTGGGCTCCCAGGATATGGGCACTTGCCGTGGTGACAGGCCTTGAAGCTCTAGCCCCTGAGAAGGCAGGAGGCGAGCAAGCGCTCAGGGGCGGCAGAGCAGAGTGATGAAGAGCTGGATTCTGGAGCTTGCAGGAGCTGCCCCGCTCCTTTTCCCACAGGAACAGGGTATGTATGGGCTTCGGAAAATGGGGAAGAGGAAGGTAAGAATTCTGTGACTTCAGGATGAGCCAGCGCACACAGGAGAAGGAAAACCCCTGCAGCAGGGGGCTTTTTCCAAAGCTTCATTGCCCCATCATGGAAAGACTCACCTCAAACCCGGGTTAGTCACTGCCCGGTGCTGGCTGTGTCACCACAGGGTGAATTTCAAGAGACCCAGAAAAGGACATTCTGCAGCTGGGGGAAAATCCTTGCTGTCCCCACTCTGGGGCCCCTGGGGCCCATTAGAGGTCATTGTTAGCCAAAGAGCAGGTGTTAGTGGTCTCTTCAGAGGAGCTTTGCTGGAGTCCTGTCACGCCACAGCCTCTGGGGTCTGGGGAAGGCTATTTGGGTTCAAGATCAGGGGATTGAGGCCTGCTCAGCAAGGGCATTAGCCTACAAGGTCTGAGTCACTTGCTGGGCACCCACACCTGGAGTGACCGCAGAATCGAATCCCTGAAGTGTCCCACCTGCAGCTATATGGCTCTGAGACCGATGGGGGCATGAGGAGAATTCAGGATGACAAGTACTTACAAGGGGATGGGGGGGGGGGGGATACAGCGGTCCCAGAGTTAAGCTGTAAGTCCCTTGAGGGCTGAGGGCAGCTCTCATTATTGTCTTATCCGTAGAACCTGTCCTGACAATGGCCGACATGGTCCTACATAACGGAGCCCTCTCCTCCCTGCTCACCTCTGCTTACCTCTTCTGACCTCATCTCACCCTTCTCTCCTTTCCGCTCCAGGCACACTGACTCATGGCTCTTCCTGTGTCATGTGTCCTCCTGCCTCACGGCCTTTGCACCTACTGTTCCCAAACTGCTTGTACCCAGAAATCCACATGGCTTGTCAGTCAAGTCAGGTCTCTGTCCAAACCTCACCTTATCAGAGAGGCCTTTGGGTCCATGTGCCCTGGCTTCCTTAGCCCGCTTAACTTTTCTTCCTGGGGGGCGCCTGGGTGACTCAGTAGGTTAAGTGTCTGCCTTCGGCTTATGTCATGATCCCAGGGTCCTGGGATCGAGCCCCGCATCGGGCTCCCTGCTCCTTGGGGAGTCTGCTTCTCCCTCTCTCACTCCCTCTCCTTGTGTTCCCTCTCTCGCTGTGTCTCTCTCTGTCGATTAAATAAATAAAATCTAAAACAACAACAACAACAACAGCAAAACAAAACAAAAAAACCCCTTTTCTTCCTGGGACTTTCTGCCCTGAGGGAGTATGTACTTGGTTATTTTCTGCCTCCTTTCTCTCCACTGTAAACTTTTTGGAGCAGGATTTTTCCTTTTCTGTTCCTGACTTTATCCCCAGGGTCTCGCCTGGTATAAGTGAATGTATAGTCATCACCGAAGCAATGTCTGCTGATGGACTCAGCCTACCTACCAGAATAAAGGGTCTGTGGTCAGAGAGAACTTGATACCAATCCGGCGCTCAGCTCTCCTGTTTCATTTGGACCTAGGCCATGTTCTTCTTGGACCTGTCATCACCCCCTTTTCTTATTTCTCTGGGGTTACCTCCCCAGCCTGATGGGAAGCATCAGCTCTTCTCCAGGGGAGCCTGAAATCCATGACACTTCCAGGCAGCAGGCAGAAGACGCACTGCTGGAGAGGCCGGGCAGCCTGACTCTGACCCAGGCAACCCGTGAGGCCGAGGGCTCAGGTTGGTTGGCCACACTCAGCCTTCGGGGTGGGGGGTGTCTGGCTGACCTGCAAATGCCTTCATTTGATTTTACTTTGAAGATGAATCCAACATCCAGAAGCGGAGACATTTCACAAGAGAGTCAGAAGACCCGGCCACCGTGGGCCTGCACTCAGGCATGGCACAGCCCCTGGAGCTGAAAAGCTGGCCCTGTTTTAGCTCAGCTCTCCGACTGGCCACGGTCCTCACCCCTCCTGCAACATTTGCTCTGGGGCCGTCTGAAATAAAGCGCATGCATGCATGCACGCTGGGTAGCTTCTCTCCTCACACTAGCTGTGGGACTTGAGCAAGTCTTGCAAGACGGACTTCCCAACGACCCCCCGAGTCCATGGTGAGGAGTGGATGGGAAATTCCTTGGGAAGCAGAAGCACTCTGCCCCTCTCCCAAGCGCTGCTCTACCACTTCCTCTTCTCTCTGCTTCCCTCCCCAGATGCCACCCCTTCAGTCCCTGGACACTGCTGTCCAGCCGGCCCAGGTGGGTCCTGACTTCGCAGCTGGATCTGCCTTCCCAGGTGGGGAGAGCTGCGGGCAGCCAGTTGCAGCTGCACCTGCATCCGTGTGGGGTCTCTACTCGGGAAGGAGGCATACGTCATGGTGAAGGTGTGATGAGATGCAGGAGGGCTCGGAGTCCTAGCGGGGCTTGGCCTCAGAACAACTACAAATGAGATTGGAGCCGTCAGATGGGCGGTTGCCACTGAAAAGTCTTCCCTTTCCAATCCTAAGGTCCTTGTTCTAGAACCAGGTGTCACAGCAACCGCCTGTGAAGTCAGCTGGGTTTGCTCAGCTTTGCAGGAAAAGCTACTTCTTCCTCCCGGGACTATTAAGCTAGTGTACCTTTTAAAAGGTTTTAAACTTTTATTGCTTCTTTGAAATAAAGCATTCCTCTCATTCCAAAATGAAATGCATTTCAAATGGATTTCCCAAGATTTTCTATATTTTGATTACAAAAATAATCCATCCATGGTTTTTATAGAAAAATTGGGGAAATACATAAAGGTGCAGAAGGAAATGAAAGCCTCCTATAATCACTGTTAATATTTTTGGTTTATGTCACTCTAGACTATTTTCTGTATACTCCGATCATTCATATATATATATGTGTGTGTGTGTTTGTGTGTAAATATGTATTATATATAGGTACATGTATTTTCCACATATGATGTCAGATTCTTATTATATATACTATTTTATAATATACAGCATAAGGCTTGGAAAACAGTAGTCAATAAATAAATATTGCCACTGCTAATAAATATCATTTATTTAATGCCTATCATATGCCAGGCATGATATTAGGTGTCTTACATACACTGTCCCACTTAGTCCTCAGAACGGTTCCATGATACAGAAACTATCTTCCTCATGTTTTAGAGATGAGAAGCTTGGGGCACCTGGGTGGCTCAGTTGGTTAAGCGGCTGCCTTCAGCTCAGGTCATGATCCTGGAGTCCCGGGATCGAGCCCTGCGTCGGGCTCCCTGCTCAGCAGGGAGTCTGCTTCTCCCTCTGACCCTCCTCCCTCTCATGCTCTTTCTCATTCTCTCTCTCTCAAATAAATAAATAAAATCTTAAAAAAATAATAAAAAATAGAGATGAGAAGCTTGAGGCCCAGAGAGATTATGTTACAAAGGTTGTCAATGAGATGGACAAATACATGTTTCTGTATTTTTGTATGAAGAAAGTGCCCATTTACAGGTTTGAAAGTTTTTCAAAAATTGATTTAAGAGATGCCTTACTGCCTACTCAGGTGAGAGTTTTCACTGAGAATGATGTAAAAACAGGTTCTGGTCTTGGAGGCAGGAAATCTGGCTCTGCAACTGACTAGTTGTATGATCTGGAGTGAGTAACATCCTCCCTGGCCCTCAGTTTCCTCATCCACAAAATGGGATTGGTGTGGAAAGCAGGGTTAGCAGTGTGCCCAGGATATAGGGGTGTTTGAAATGATTAACGAAAGCTGATGGCAACTGGAAAACGTGGAGAAACTGCAAAAGCACAGAACACAAAGCTTGCTTTTTAAAAAGTTCACCCATGATGCTTCATGGTGATAGTAGCCAATGTGGAGCTGGTGGGGATATACCCGTGGTCAGTAGTGAGTCCTCGCGAGGCTGTGCTTACTTCCTAGGGAAATGCTGAGCTGTAAAAAGACTGCTTATCAATTTGTCTCTGAAAAACAGGTAATCTACAGTATCTAAATGTGCCCAACTCCTAAAATAGCACCTTTGTGTCTCTGAAATCTTTGTGGCTCAAATAAAAATCAGCGGCAGGGGACAAGGAAAATGCACAGGTTATCTGAATTAGCTTGAATGGTACGGCAATTAGGGGGTCTCCCAATTTCCCCCCTTCCCCATGGCACATTAACTTTTCTGAGCCTCAGTTTTGCCAAGTGTCAATTGCGAGTTGTAAGACCTCCCTCCCCGGGGCAGTGTGGCGAAGAAAAACAGTATGTGTGAAGGTGTTGGCTCAAGGTCTAGGTCATAATAAGCAATACCCTATATGAGGCCATATATATGAGGGGTTCTGGACAGGCTCTGAGGTTAGACATGAGTTAGAACCCTGCTTCTGCCATTCACCAGCTCTGTCACCTTGGGCAAGTTATTGAGCTTCTCTGGGCCGATGTCACGAGGTTTGTAAAGACTAAGCACTAATCTATGTGCTGCTTGGTGCAGAGCAGCTATCCAACGTCAAGTATCACAGTGAGGTCCTCCTTGCTTTCTCCCGGTCACATGACTCTTTTGCCTTTTTGCTCCTTGTAAAGCCCGACCCACATAATGTAGCACTTGATTATACACCGCCTTGTACTGCCCTCTCGTTTTTTTTTCTCACATGCTTCACTCTGGTGTTTTTTCATGGGGCTCAGACCCTTAAGGGCACCATCTGGGACAGAGATTTCTTTAGTATTCCTTCCAGGGGCTCATGTATGTGCATGCCCAATAAATCTTTGCTGCCTTGAATTACATCTGATTGATGGCTCTTTCCCTGCTGATTTCTCAAGGTTTCACCCAGATTGAGCCAAAACCCTTGGGAAAAATGGCAGCAGTCTGTCCGGGCCTCCAGAGACCTGAGCTCTTGGCTCTGCTGAGAATGAGAAATGGAGGAGCTGGAGGGCCTGAGCACTACCACGGGCATCTGACAGCTAAGGAGAGGGCCCCCCCCGCCCCCCTTCTTGGCCCTCCCAGCCACCTGACTCTACAGCAGCACCTGTGGCTTTGCAGGACAGCTGTGGCCTTAAATGGCACCAGAGCTTAAGATGCTTCCCTTATTTACATGGCTTCTGTGTTTAAGCCTGGAGCAAGTCCTTCTGCGGTCCCAGCAGGTAATCCGGAGGAAAAGTTAAACACGAAGGAAGTGAGGGAGGGGCTGAGGAAGGACCTGGCTGTAGGTTCTCAACGTTGTGTTTAGCTTCCCCAGCTGAGTATAAGTCACTAAAAAGGGGAACTTTCTACCCTCCCAGTCCCTCAGTTATTTCCAAGAGTTTACTATTAGGAGAGGGACTAAAGACTCATTAAAGTAGTTGACCTTTGGTGTAGGGCAACCCTGCTAATTTGTCTATCTATAGTCTTCTGCGAGCACAGTTGCATAATTCATGGCTGTTTATGAGTACTGGGCTGCTTTTTAGAATCCCCCCCCTTTTTTTGTTTGATTTTAGGAGTTGCAAAGTCACTCATTCATTCATTTAACAAATATTTATTGAACTATGGACTCGGTCCCATGAATACAAAGTTTACTACTGGGTGAATATTCGCTCAATATCCTACATGCAGGCCCTGTATCAGGTGCTGGGGAGAGAGCTGTGGCCAAGATAGGCGTGGGCCCTAGCTTCGTTGAGCTGCGGGGGAATAAGAAGCAAATGAATGGCTAGTTACAACCTACGGTGCAAGGTGCCATTTCAGGGCGCCTGCGAGGCTCAGTCATTAAGCCTCTGCCTTCAGCTCAGGTCATGATCCCCCGGGGTCCTGGATCGAGCCCTGCATCAGGCTCCCTGCTCAGCGGGGAGCCTGCTTCTTCCTCTCCCTCTGCCCGCCCCCTGCTTGTGTTCCCTCTCTCTGTCAAAATAAATAAAATCTTCAAAAAACAAAAAAACAAAGTGCCATTTCATAGGGTGGGAAGCAAGTTCTTAGAGTCCTATACTGAGACTTGGAAGTCCAGGAAGAATGACAGTTAAGCTAAGCCTGATAGAAAAATAGAAGTTGGCCAGGTGTGGAGGTGAGGGGTAGAGAGCCAGTATGGAAAATCCTTACGGGCAGAGGGGAGAGCATGTGGAAAGATCTGGAGAGGCTACGGTAGATGATACTGCAGGACGAGAAAACATCGTGAACTCCAAGTCACTGAACACAAGGAAAGCTTATTTCTCACTCAAGCAAAGTTGGATTGGAGTTCAGAGCAACTGGCCACCCGGGGCCTATTGTGTGTGTCTCCTGGGGGCTGGTGGGCAGGGGTGGGGAGGGAAATTGCAGGGTGATAAGCTGAGACCGGTCACTAAGGGCCTTGCAAGCCATGTTACATGCTGAGGAATTTGGACTTTAGGGAGGCACAGAAGAATTTTACTAGGGCATAATAGAATTATATTGGCATTTCAGAAAGATAATCTTAGAAAGATCAGGCTTTCTGTGGAGACTGGGTGGAGGGAGCATGAGTAGAGGACATTTAGCAAGTTTTGCATTGACCAGGTGAGAGATGATGCTCCTCAAGGAAGGAAGGGTCTGTGAGGATGGCGGAGGTGGGCACCTCCAGCAACTGTGTGGGATGTGGAATCAACAGGAGGGGTGAAGGAGAGGAGACGTGCAGGGTGAGGCTCAGATGTGTGGGTTCAGCAACTGGATGGAGAGTGGATCTGTTCACCTGCTAAGAGTAACAGGAGGAGTAAGTTTAGGGGAAAGACAACACGTTCAGTTTTGGACTCACTGAATTTTAGGGGTCTAGAACATCCAAGGGGAGAGGTTCAGGGGACATTGAAATCTGCATCTATGGCTCTGGTGCTTAGGAGAGTCTGGCTTGTGACATTAATTTGGGAGTCATGAATACATAGATGGTATTTGAAGTCATGACGATGGAACGTTGAATGAAAAATTATCTCTGCTCTTGAGTAGCTAAGAATCTAGTGTAAGGTGGGGGCCAGGCATACAAACAAATATTGGAATTCAAGGTGAATGGTATGACACGGAGGCATGTACAAGGTTCAGTGGGGGCACAAAGCCTGGGAGTGTCGGAGAAAGTCTGATGGGAGAGGGACCAGGGCTGAGTGAGGGGCAGGTGGGTCAGGGAAGGGCGGTTCACATGGAGGGAACGGCATGAGCAAAGGCACAGAGATGTAAAAGCAGCACTGCCCAGCCAAGAAAAGTCCTTGGAGCATTTCAGTGTGCTGGTCTGAGAGAGGAGGCAGCAGCTGCACTTAGAGCCTTTGAGGAAAACCTGTCACCAACATGTAGGCCGTGCACACTCCGTGCAGGAGAGCAGATTTACACAGTTGAAGAGTCCATGATAAGGTGACTTTTTTTTTTTTAAGATTTTATTTATTTATTTGACAGAGAGAGGGAGAGCACAAGCGGGGGAGCGGCAGGCAGAGGGAGAGGAAGAAACAGGCTTCCCACTGAGCAGGGAGCCCAATGCAAGACTCAGTCCCAGGACCCTGGGATCAGGACCTGAGCCGAAGGGAGGTGCTTAGGTGACTCAGCCACCTAGAAGCCCCTAAAGTGACATCTTTTAAACTTTTTGAGCTTTTTTTTTTTACCCTAGAAGTTTTCAAGTATATATATAAAAAAACAGAAAATAATACAAAGAACCCACATGTCTTCATCACTCAGCTTCAATAATTACTAACATTCTGCCAATCTTTATTTACTCATTTATCTCTCTTTTGATTGCCAGAGCACTGTTTTTTAACTTTCTATTATGGAGAAAGTCGACAGTGGGGTATAATAGCCCCCCAGACGCCCATCAGTGACTCCCAGGGAACTTCAGATGGAGGCAGGATTCCCTCCTGCCCCTCCTGTCCATGCCCCCGCCAGCCTGCTCCTCTCCCGTTGCAGCATTTCGTCTGCTAATACTTCAAAGAATATATCTCTAGTAGATAAGGACTTAAAAATATAACTGCCTTCTCATTATCACACCCAACAAAATGCACATTAATTCACAAGTTGGCATTTTGAAAACTTTGGGGGTGGTGTTTGCCAGAAAATCCTAGGACGGTACAGAAGTGCATTTCAGGTAGAGATTCTGGATGTTCAGGTTGGTATAGACCAGATTCCCTTAACAAGACCACATGGGACAAGCCAAGTGGAGAAGGAACTAGAGGGAATTTAGGCCAGGAGAAGCTGGGGGGGGGGGGGGGGCAAGGGAGCCCTTTCAGCCCCTCAGCCCTCCTGGGTGTCCCTGGCCGGCTGGAGGCAACCACCCAAAAGAGAGAAAGTAGCAGA